CACAACAAGATGGGAAGACGACAAACCAGCCGGTCAAACCAAGAGGAAGCTGCATCGTAGTTAACGCCACATCACAGTGACTGACGGACGGCGGTTACCTAGGTTACAGATGATCTGTCCCATACAGGAGATGGCTCGTTCTTTGACTTCCTGGTCAATGTCGGCGGCTTTCAGGCGTTTGATTGTACAGGTGAACAGGTCGTTGATGTAGGGGGAGGGGTCAAAGCTGTCGGAGGCCTCCGATTGGCTGTCCAGAGGTCGGATAACCTGGAGGAGAGAGCGAAGGGCAGCTGTAAACTCATCATGTGACATTAGAGGTTGAAGAGCCGCAGGTTTGACTCTCCTACCTTAACGAGCTGCTGGGTGACGAGCAGAGCCTCGGAGGTGATCTTGTAAAAGGGGTCTCCCACGCACGCCACCACGGGCGGGACGAGGGCGGGGACGTGGGCGTGGAAGGCGTGTGCGGGGTGCGTGACCATGATGACGTGGAGACAGGCCAAAGCGTCGATTTTGAGGTTGGAGCTGCTGGACTTATCGTTCAGAGAGAAGATGATACCTGAAAAACAAACAAACCGATGTTACGACATTTTAACAGTCGACAAATATAATTTAAGAGCCTAAAAGAAAAGATGATCGTTTCCTTAAATAAATAACAGCTGCCTGGGTGAAAGTAAAAATCTGTTTACATTGAAATTAATAATTTCCCCGTCAGAGATCCTTATTGACAAGTAGCAACCAAGAGAATTAGAGAAAATAAAAATATTCTATCAAAAGAAAAGCAGGCACTGCAGAAGGATCAGAATCAATCCAGTGAACATCTGACTTAGGTTTTATATGGTGCGTAGCCTACATTTGTTCTGCAGAAACTAAATAGGCTTTAAAACATCATTAATGGACAGTGAAGGTATTTCTGCAGCTGCTGAGGCAGCTCGTCCGCACACACAGCAGACAGCGACAGGTCAAGATAACGTGTTACTCGAGGCTACTCGTGTTTTAATTGCCGTTTCCCCCCAACGATTGTATAGAAAGTTTGTAACGGCTCCGTAAACGCGCTCTGCTAAGCAGATAATACACCGGGAGCGAGCAGCAGGAAATCAGACACAGAAACGGCATAGAGAATCCGGTCAATTTTCAAAATAAAAACATCCTGTGCAGACTTCCGATCATAAACCAACAGAATAAGACGACGACATTTTATTGAAATTCATTCTTTGCATTTAACCCATCCCACAAGGCAGCGGTGGGCAGCCGGTGGGCAGCCGGTGGGCAGCGCCCAGGACCAGCTCCAGATGTTTATCAGAGTCTGGTCACGGGGAGAACACGCAAACTCCGCATAGAAAGGCCGGGACGACCGGGGTTTGAACCCGCAACTTTCTTGCTGTGAGGCCGCAGTGCTATCCACTCTACCCCTGTGTCGCCCTGCAATAGACACAATTTCAACTATTTAACTACCTAGCCTACTTAACCATAATAAAAGTCAGTAAATTCAAGCAGGGAAAACCTCTCTTCCAGCAGGATTTGCAGCTGCACAGAGGGGCAGGTTGTTTGGTTTTACTGTATTTATGTTTTATTTATTTAGGATATTTAAATTTTTTGACACTTCAATTCTAATGTCTGAATATTCTTATGCATAAAAAATAAGTTGCTCTTTGAACGCGCGTACTTGCAATATTCTGCAATTATATTACCGTGATATAAGTGGTCTTAAAATGGTCTTAAAATGACAATAATATCGTTTAACACAATAATTTCTGGGACAATATATTGTCCAACAAACAGAAGTTATTGTGACAGGCCTTATTAAGAATATTGTATACTAAGTAAACAGCAATACTGCTAAAAGGACAACAGTAGAGATATTGAGAGCGAGAGATCCAGATCAAATGTCTGTTAGTTCACAGAAATGAATATAGTAGCAGTAGTAATAGTAGTAGTAGCGGTGGTGTAGTATTACCTGGAATTAGTACTGGGATGTGCTGCGTCAGGGCTCCTGGGAGGACGTTCACCAGCTCAGTCAACATGTTGAAACAACACTGACGGGTTTTTACACTTTTCTCCTTCAGCTGCTTGTGAAGAGCTTTCACTATCATGGGGACCTGCACGGGGCGAGAGACATTAACAGAGAGAGAGAGAGTGTGAGAAAAGACCACCACAGTTACTTCAATTTCAATTTCTGCGGTTGACGGTGGGTTTCCTGTCAGAGAAAACACAGGCGAACCCAATTAAAGCTCCAACAGCGACATCTGCTGAAGAAAAACAAAACTACAATCAGAGAGAAGATAATTAATTATGATTAATCACAGTCTGGGAAATAGACCAACTCATAAAATACTACTTTTCTACACAAATTAGGGCGACAACCGTTGTTTTCTTTATCAATTAATCTGACAATACTTTATTCGATCAATTGTTAGGTTACAATTTTCCCAAATCCAAGAGCAAGGCTTTAAATGTCTCGTTTTGACCGACCTACAGTCCAAATCCCCAAAATATCATGTAATAAACAAAATCTGAAAATATTCACACTTGCTGCAAATAGTGAATATTTGGCATGTTTGCTTAAAAAAAATATTTATGCAACTAATTATCAAAATTGTTGATTCACTTCTTTCGTTTTAGTTCTGACATAAATACACATCCTGTATGCAGCTAAATCACAGTATTTATCTTTAACTAACAGATTAAGTTATCAATTACCTTCTACCTGTAACATATCTGAAAGTACTGAAAAAATGTTCACGTGACATCTTTAAATGTCTTTTTTTTGTCCAAACAACAGTCAAAACCCCAAAAATATCCAATTTGCAACAACACAAAACAAAGAAAAGCAGCAAATCCTCACATCGGAGAAGCCAGATCCTGTTTTAGTTTTTAAAATTACATTAAATTATTAATCGATTATTTATACTACACTATTTAAAAAAAATTAGGAAAAAGGGACAATTACTCAACAAAACAATTTTTACCACACAAAGATGAAAAACAAAACAGTATCCTGAACCCGATGATGCCAATCTGGCTTTCTGATCATTTACTTTTATCAGGCCTGGGCACCTTAACGGCTTATTATCTCGTTAACGCATTTATTAAATAACGCTGACAATTGTTTTATTGCACGTTAACGCATTTTTTAAAAGTTATTATTATTTTGATTCTGAATACACAGTCAAACCATGAGTCACAGGAGGGGCGGGATGCTGATCACCCTGCAAATCACCCAGACAAGCAGTGGAGGGAGGTTTCGGCAGACTAACAGTGTTTGCAAACCACACGTTATTGCACTTTTGTGTATATAGCTGTACATTTAAATTAAAATTGAGCAATACACTACTTTAGAATTCATTATTCAATTTTGCACATAATGTGATTAATCACAAGAAAATGGGATTAAATTTTAATCGTTGCCCAGCACAAATTTTTATACTTACTAAGTATATACTTATAGTATACCTGTTTTCAGTTCCTCACTACAACTGTCACCTCTTTAACTGAAAATAAATGATTTCTTACATTCATCCTCACTATTTGTTTCCACTTAAATTCATATCGACTCTCGTTTTAAAAACAAGCTTTTTTGGATACTTTCACATAATCATTGATTTATTTTGGCCAAATATGTAACTTTAAAACAGCAGGCTACAGTGAGTAGTTTTGTTTACGTATTTTAAGGTTCGATTTTGAAGAATTAAAATTAATTGACTTTCAGACGTTTTGCTCACAGAAATATGCTTTCCAACCATCCATCCATTAATTAATCCTTCCCCGTTTCTTACCTGGCTCTGCAGCATGGTGAGCGGGGTTTCTCCCTGCTCCATGGCGTCTGGATCAGTCAACCAGCTCTGAGCAGGTCTGGTCTGTTTAAGCAGCGACAGGTAGGCGTGGAAAACATCCGCCTTCACGTTCTCCTCCCTCTCCTACAGACAGTTCAACAGGTATGGATTACATATATCAGGTCGACATCAGCCCGATCCACAGACAAGGATTAATCACAATGAACAGTTTCCGCATTAGTCCGATCAATAGTAAGAAATTACTTTAATCAAGAGGTAGCGAGCAAAGTAATCAATCGGCCGGTGCAGACTTGTCATATTATCCGGCTGAAGTTAAGATAAGTAAAGATCTATTTAAATTGCTGCTTTCGAAACTAATTTAAAATATCAGATCTGAGTGATGAGGAGATGAAACCAAAGCAGCAGAGTGAGGAGGTGACGGCGTGACAGGAGAGACTGACGGTACCTTGAAGCGGCAGACGAGCGCGGGCGAGACGGAGCGGTAAAACTCTGGCAGCATCTCGTGGCGCGTTGAAACGACGGCATCCAAACACTTGGCGGCCGCCCGTCGAACCTTCCAGCTCATGTCGTCGTCGTCACTGTACTCATCGTCACTGCCTGGACAAACAAAGACCGGCTGTCAGTATTCACAGTTTTCACAGTCAGCTTCTAACATGGACATGTTTGTCAGTTTAAAAGATAATTTAAGTCAAGAAAGTCACAGTTTGTCGTAAAAGTATAAGACGTGAAAATACGTAATTAGAAAAAACAAACTCAAAAGACGCTTATGTAACGCCATAACTTTTTCTCTCAATAAACTACATAATATATAATAACGTGACTGAAGCTAATGTTGTTACTGAAGCTAACGTGACTGAAGCTAATGTTGTTACTGAAGCTAACGTGACTGAAGCTAACGTTGTTACTGAAGCTAACGTGACTGAAGCTAATGTTGTTACTGAAGCTAACGTGACTGAAGCTAATGTTGTTACTGAAGCTAACGTGACTGAAGCTAATGTTGTTACTGAAGCTAACGTGACTGAAGCTAACGTTGTTACTGAAGCTAACGTGACTGAAGCTAATGTTGTTACTGAAGCTAACGTGACTGAAGCTAATGTTGTTACTGAAGCTAACGTTGTTACTGAAGCTAACGTTGTTACTGAAGCTAACGTTGTTACTGAAGCTAACGTGACTGAAGCTAACGTGACTGAAGCTAACGTTGTTAATGAAGCTAACGTTGTTACTGAAGCTAACGTGACTGAAGCTAACGTTGTTACTGAAGCTAACGTTGTTACTGAAGCTAACGTTGTTACTGAAGCTAACGTGACTGAAGCTAATGTTGTTACTGAAGCTAAGGTCACTGATGAAGCTGATGTTGTTACTGAAGCTAAGGTCACTGATGAAGCTAAGGTCACTGATTGTAACGTGACTGAAGCTAATGTTGTTACTGAAGCTAACGTGACTGAAGCTAAGGTCACTGATGAAGCTAAGGTCACTGATGAAGCTAAGGTCACTGATGGTAACGTGACTGAAGCTAAGGTCACTGATGAAGCTAAGGTCACTGATGGTAACGTGACTGAAGCTAAGGTCACTGATGAAGCAAAGGTCACTGATGGTAACGTGACTGAAGCTAAGGTCACTGATGAAGCTAAGGTCACTGATGGTAACGTGACTGAAGCTAAGGTCACTGATGAAGCTAAGGTCACTGATGGTAACGTGACTGAAGCTAAGGTCACTGATGAAGCAAAGGTCACTGATGGTAACGTGACTGAAGCTAACGTGACTGAAGCTAACGTTGTTACTGAAGCTAACGTTGTTACTGAAGCTAACGTTGTTACTGAAGCTAACGTTGTTACTGAAGCTAACGTGACTGAAGCTAATGTTGTTACTGAAGCTAAGGTCACTGATGAAGCTGATGTTGTTACTGAAGCTAAGGTCACTGATGAAGCTAAGGTCACTGATTGTAACGTGACTGAAGCTAATGTTGTTACTGAAGCTAACGTGACTGAAGCTAAGGTCACTGATGAAGCTAAGGTCACTGATTGTAATGTGACTGAAGCTAAGGTCACTGATGAAGCTAAGGTCACTGATGAAGCTAAGGTCACTGATGGTAACGTGACTGAAGCTAAGGTCACTGATGAAGCTAAGGTCACTGATGGTAACGTGACTGAAGCTAAGGTCACTGATGAAGCAAAGGTCACTGATGGTAACGTGACTGAAGCTAAGGTCACTGATGAAGCTAAGGTCACTGATGGTAACGTGACTGAAGCTAAGGTCACTGATGAAGCTAAGGTCACTGATGGTAACGTGACTGAAGCTAAGGTCACTGATGAAGCAAAGGTCACTGATGGTAACGTGACTGAAGCTAAGTCAATGCCGTATTTGGCAACATAGGCAGTGTTATATCTTGTGAACTGATCACGTCCGTTTGTGAACGTGAACTCATGCAATGCTGTGCTAAACTCAATATATAAAACCAGAATCCACATTATAAAGAAAGGTAGCGAGGAATCTGTGACAGGCAGGACTTAAGTTTCATTTGCACTTTCCAGCCGAGCTTTTTATAGGCACACTGCTGAGTGGTAAACATGGATTATCCATGAAGGAAAACAAATTCTGCCACGGGAGGGACTTGTAAAGTAAGTATGCTTTCAATAGATATGTTAATAGATAACATTTATTAATTTACAAAACGCAAAGTGAGTGAACAGAGGAAAAATCTAAATCAAATCAATGTGGTGTGACCACCGTTTGCGTTCAAAACAGCATCAGTTCTTCTAGGTAGTTTTTGAAGGAACTCTACCCACAATCCTTCTGTGGATTTGGGCAGCTTCAGTTGCTGGATAAAAAAAAAAACAATTAAATGCTGCCACGAACCACAAAAGATCCCACAGTATTTAACATGTTAACAAGTTAATGCTAGTTGGCTACAACTTGTGTCGACTTATATTTCAGTACCTTGGTAGTCTTCATCGTTCTGCTCTGCGTCCATGGCGTTGTCGTCCTCGTCTTCATCGTCGAAGTTGTAGTTGGGGTCGTAGGTCAGGTAGCGCAGGCAGATAGAGATAACCGTGGGAACGTGGGGGTAAACTTCTTTAGGACACCTGTAACAATAACAACATGAAAGTTAAACACAAGCAACTACGACTATCAGAGTATGTTGGCAGTATTACTGCGTGTATTACCTCCTAACAAAGGACTCAAACGCCTGGATGCAGTACTCTCTGAGCTCGTCATCATCAACGTTGCAAAACTTCACTACCAGAGGAATGATCTTCTCCAGATACTCTCCTGAACAGACAGAGAGTAAGGTCATAGTAAGTTAGTAAAAACATTTTTAGTTGATTGTCTGAAAATAAAAGTGAAATCCAGAAGAAACACTTGATGTGAATTTGGTCACTTTTATGTTTTTGGTAGTCAGCGTGTCTCGTCTGTCTCACCGATCCTGTGTCCAGCCTGTCTGCTGATGGCGGCCGTGCACTGGATGTAGGTTCTGGTGGTCGACATGTTGTCGTTCCTTCCCAGCTCGGTCAGAAGATGCTCGATCAGATCGATGAAGACCAGGTTCCCACAGGACATAACCAAGTGGCCCAGAGCCATGATGGTCCTCTGAAACGTCACGGCAGATGTAATGAATACACACTGGCTCTTAAAATAATGTTGTGAAGGATAATAACTTAAAGGTCAGATGTACCTTTCTGACAGCCAGTCTGGGGGAGGTGAGCTGGGGGAGCAGACAGCTGAGGATGGAGGGATGGAAATTCACCAGCAGACCTCCCTGTCTGCAGAGACACAGAAAGATAAGACAGTTTTTATTTCAGAATCAAAATTAACGACAGAACCAGGCTGCTTGTCTAGACGTAGCTACTGAAGCGTTGCTAGTTTCTGGATGCCGAGTAGCAACTCTCAGTGAGAAAGAAGAGTCGATTGTGCACATTCTTCCTCCATCAGCTCTGCTCATTGTATTAGATAGTGGTAATGTGGAGGCAGTGTGCAACTTGGCAATATATCTGCAGAAGAACTGTTCACTGAAAGTCTTTTCCAAGTACTAAAATTTTAACTTTATTAGATGGTTATTATTTTGCAGACCCCGGAAAAGTTGCAATAAACAGTTCACTGATCCGTTTCTCTGCCATTTTTCTGTATTTAAGCAAAAAATAATAATTTTTCAGGAAGGTTTCAAACATTAAAACTGGCAGTAGGCCTGCAACTAACAATTATATTGATTAATCTGATTATCATTTTGTCGATTAATTGATTAGTTGTCTGGTCCATAAAATGGTGAGAAATGTATATTTGTGTTTCCAAAAGCCCAAGATGACGTCCTCAGATGTCCACAACCCAAATATTTTCAATTTTTTATTTCAGATTGATGAAGCTGGAGAGTAGGGCTGGACGATTTCACCTAAAATAAAAATCACGATTAATTGAATATTTTTCCTCGATTACAATTATTTTGTCGTCATAATTCACTGACTAGGTTTGTACTTTAAATAAGCTCAACTATTATCTGGGTTTATTTATTTATTTGATTCACCGATTTTAAAATCGATAATGTAAATTTTAATTGATAAGGTAATATTGACATCCACATTATGGATAAATGGTTCCCCTATATTCAGCGCATTGTCGCTGCTGAATTATGACCACTGCTTTTATTAATGTCAGTGTGGAACTAATGATTTTCACAGCAACACACGCTTTGCTAGCTTCTAAGTAACGTGACAGCTGCTGTTAGAAGAGCAGCAGAGTTAACGTCAGGTCTTTTAAGGAGTGCAGTGTGTGTTCGTAGCGAGTGGGTAAGCAAATGAGAGAGCGCAAGCAGCAGAAAGTAACGGGAAAAGCGAGCAAGTTTGTTGTCAGTCTGGCAGTAAATGTACAGTGTCGGTCACAGCGTTAATAAAATGGATGTCTGTTGTTTCGCCAATTGCTGCAAAGTGAAGGCGGTTAGAAAAAGTGAAGGCCTTTTTTTTCCAAAACAATGAATCATTAATCAAAATAGTTGGCGATTAATTTAATAGTTGACAACTAATCAATTAATCGTTGCAGCTCTACCTGGCAGTCAGGTATATACAGATGTAACAGACAGGTAGCGTACCTGCAGAGCATGTCAGCCATGATGTCGAGCGCCTCCAGCTGGACAGACACGTCTTCCTGTTTGGCGATGGCGCTCGTTAATCGACCCGTTATCTTCTTGCAGACACTGGCAGCTAAAGCAGAGCCTGAGAGACACAGACAGGTACAAGTTTTTATAACATCAGTTTTAATTACCTATGAAGGCAACTAACTGCAAACAAAAGGCCTCATTATCAGTCAAGCTAAGAGAAACAAAGACGCTGTAGTAATACAACTAGTACTGTATTGTAAAAGAAAAAAAAAATGTGTGGAGTAGTAAGATAGTAAGTAATCATTTCAATTTCCCCTGAAACAATTTGCCTAATAAATCACATTGTTCACAAGACACCATGAGGATCTGGGTTAGACCTGAACGATTAATCGTTTTCAAATTGAAACTGCGAGAGTTTAGCCTACACGTTGTTAATTTGTCATTCTGTGTGCTTCAACTACGGATAACAGCTCTCTGTGAGCTAGCTAAGCTCTCCCCGTGCTACATTTCCCACATGGAGCATTTCAGAATAAGAGCGTTCTGCCTGCCTGATTTTGCTGACTTGTTAAGATTTTGTTGATTTGTTCAGTTGTCCTTGATTTTTGTGCCTCTACTATGGTTAAGTAGCTACGTAGTTAAATTGGGAATTTAGAAGGGTGTTTTATTTTGAAAATTGACTGGATTCTCTATGCTGTTCTGTGTCGGACTTCCTGCCTGGTTCATCAGCTCTGTGCAGCTTGACATGGCTTCAGTCAAAAATACACTGGCAGTGAATTCTGAACTTCAGCAAACCCCCCCGTTTATTTTTTAAAATCGCAAATCGAATCGTAATATCTGGCGGATAAATCACAATTACATTTTTCCCCCAAATCGTTCAGCAGTGATCTGGGTTATGCAATAATGAGCACAGAATATCAATCAATACAAATGCAGATAATGAATAAATAATATAAACACATTATGCCCGTAGAACTGATCCTGTGCCTCTGAGCAGGACGCAGTATAAATACAGAACGCAGGTTGTTGTTCTGGTGCAGGTGTTTGGTTAACAGCTACAGAGAGAAAACACTGTTAGAGCCGATTGACAGCTGTGATCAGCTGCCGCCGTCATCAGAAACTGTCACGGAGGGAAACAACTTACGATGCAAAGAGGCAGTCCAGAAAATTATTCTTCCGTCTGTAGTTACAGGACATTTTCTGGACGCGTGAACGAGGACTTGACGTTTGGTTGTTTGAGCTGGACAAAGCGAACGGAATTCAATGTGGACACTGGAGACTCATTAATACCACGTCTTAAGAGACAGATGGGTATTTGAGAGACAGCAGTGGTAGTAGTACCATTAATCATAGTTTGCATAAGTATTCATTGTATTTTTACCACTGGAGGCGGGCGGTAACTCTCCGATCACAGTTTTGAGTCCGATGGAGGAAATGTCTCTGAGCTGTTCTTTGTCCGACAGCATGTTGGTGCACAGAGTGTCCACGATCGTCTCCACCTGGTACTCCTTCACCTTACTGACCAGGGGCCCCAGGCTGACGAAAACAAACGCACCCACAGTTAAAACGTACACAGTGAAGCGGAAACAGAAATTTAAATAAACACTTGGTTAAAAAATACTGCGTGTGTGTTTGTTACCATTTGACAGCCAGGTTCTGAACTTCTCCATTCTTGTCTTCCAACAGTTTAAGAATCATCCTCACCACCTGCCAATCAATACATCAATCAATCAATCAAACCTAAAACTCTTCAGCCTCGAGACAAACTCTCCAGACACAAACATATAAACTGACCTTCCTCTCGCTGTCGTCGTCCAGTTTGATTGAATCTTTCTGCAGCTCCGTCATCAGGTCGTTAGTGGCCATAAACCTGGAGAGAGAGAGAGGAAATAACTCTGCAACAACGCAATCAATCAGAAACTCAAACCTGCAGCGGAGTCAGATTAACACCAGCTTCAATGCAGCTAATGTGGTTTTTAATTAAACTAAATATAAAAGTCACTATAGCAAACTTGATCCATTTCTCGAGACGATTAATGATCAACTTAATTACAAATAATCCCAAATCGTTTCTGAATTGGGATTAATCTGTTATGAGTTTGAGGGAGGCTGTGACGAACGACTAATTGCCAAAGCAGTTAACAATCTGGCTCTCGAAGGCTGTGAGAACATCGTTTGAAGCTGTAACGACTTGAGTATTTCAAGTGTCGTGTCCGCTACAGTCTTTGACTCGAGATGGAAATCTGCTTCTGATGTTGTTCGGACACGTCTGCGTGCGTTTTCCTTCTACACGGGTTGTGAGTTTAATGTGCTGGATTATGGCAAAAATCATAATCAGTATTATTTTGAGATCACGATAATTGAACGTGTCAACATTCCAACGGCCGTCAGGTCCTGGCAGCACCTTTCAGTATGTGCACACAGCTGCTATGTTAACTTCACACTCATATGATGCACCTCGTGAGTCGACCAATGCAAACCATTTCAAGGTACAATCACCACAGCGGGTCCAAACAGCGCCTCTGTCAGACTGGAAATTGACGCGACTCACTTATGTCTCATAGTAACTTCATCCACCGATCGATTATATTCCAACAAAAATGGTCTTGTTATGTGGTCAAAAGGTCCAGACGATCCAATCCAGTTCAAACATTTACTCCAAAACACATTATTCCTGAGGCTAGGTAAGGCTTTATGCTGTGGCCCTACAGTGTTTTCCAGCTAATAAGTCCCAGCTGCAGTCGTCTGCATGAATTTGTTAGCAAGCAGAAAAAAATATATAAGTTTTAGTGTTTAAACTTATATCAATCAATTCCAGTAGCACTTCCAGTGATTCAGACATATA